ATTCCTTCCTTCCTTCTTTCCTCTTGCCTTCCGTCCTTATCATTTTTTTCTATTCCCACTTCACTTCCTCCCTCTCTCTGGCTTTCCCTTTCTTCCGTTTCTAACTCTTTATTTTTTTTTCTTTCTATCTTTTGTTTTTTCTTTCTTTCCGTTATTGTTTATTTCTTCCTTATTTTTTACTACTTAATACGTCCAAGGCGTCCTACTGACTGTGTATAGGATCAAGAAATTGGAAAAAGCGGCCAAGGCCCAACAAAGGGCTTTAGAGCCATAATAATAAGAGTAATATTAATGACTGACCAATCTATTCACTTAACTGGCTGACTGATTAGAGGTGTTGTCACTTTTGACAGGTATACGAAATGACAGAATAATTGTAGTGACACAAAAGTACAGTTCGTATTGTCTCCACAGTTGGGAACGAATGGAGTTATAGTTCCACAAAGACTACGGTGTTCCCAAATGTCTTTTCCATTTTCCAGTGTTAGATATTTAGAGTGAACAGGAGTGCGGTCAGGTTGATAGCGGAGATGTGCACAGCAACAATGAACAACCGACTGTGGCATGCAGGCGGCAAAGAACTAAGCGAGGGCCCAACATAAATCAACAGGTGACTGTGCGTCCTCCCCCCCCCCCAACCTTACACCTAAACCTGAGCACGTAAATATGGAACCGGGCTCAATGGGCGTCAGAAGTAAGCCCTAAAGTGCAGGCCGCGCGATAGCTCAAGCGGCTAGTCGCTGGCTTCCCACCGCGGCGGTCCGGGTTCGGTCCCGGGTCTGGTCAAGTGGGATTTGTGGTGGACAAAGTAGCGCTGGGGAAGGTTTTCTCCGAGCACTTCGGTTTCCCCTGCCAATCTTCATTCCACCAAATGCTCCACAATCACCCTCACCTATCATCTGGGGCTGTGTAATATGTATTCAACCCCCGCATTATTTTACGAGATGTGATAGTGTCCCCTGCACCACGAGCTACCCTACTTGTTTATTCTAAGTTGTCCTTTTCCTGTATGGGGTAGTCTAGACCCCGAAATTCTGAGTGAATACAAAATAAGAGGTTCACCCTTTTGGGGAGAGACGTGCTTATGGGCACTTCCTGCAGGTGTTCTCCCCTCGTGATTTCAAAAATCATTTTAATTGGAATCCTCATTTGGAATTCCTATGACCATCCAGTGCTCCATACGTCTGAATGGTCAAACTCTTCTTTAAGGACGACGAATCAAATGTCGATCCTGAATCTGACTACGCCCTCAATAGGCGTGTCTCTGGGTGTCCAAGCACCAAGTTCGGGGTTCGAATCCCTTTAAAAACTCAGGCTTTGCCAGCCACGGTGGACACCACGCTAAGCTTTTGACTTGTTCACTTCGGTCGGACTCCTCGCCAGTTTAATCACTAGCTTCACGTATCTGTGTGTTACTACTGAACTTAAGTGCGGCATCATCGAGTAGCACACTCAGCACCTCCCTGGAGGCTACCTCTCACTACCCGCCGAATCCTACCGCGTTGGTGCATAGTGCACTCACATCCTTTGTTCATTTATCAAGTAACTATAATTAATATTCCTATTGTAACCTTGTATAAGCATTTGATTCAATACATCATTCTATTAACCTGAAAACCGACTTCCGAAGACTTGAATTTCAATTCTTAAGTGCTCCAACGATCCCAGTCCACAAGACTTCCGCTCGGTCTACAAGTACTTCCCATCACTATCCTTCGGGATACAACAGCTGGTACAATAGGCAAGAAGTGGCCAGAGGGACTTAGTCCCACCCCACTAGCAATAAAGAAGAAGCCCTAAAGTGGCCCACTGCAACTCCCATTAGTTTCGCTTGGTAAGTAAATCGATAAGTTAATACTGTAGACGATTTATTTTCGTTGTGTTTCACTGTTCCTTAGAGCAATGATTAGTGTGGCGTTTGAGATCAGTCCATTCCGATTGCATGTTCCTTCAGTCCGTCTTTTCTCCACTTCAGTAACATGAAAATTATCGCGAATCATTTCTTCTGTGTTTCAAAGTATTAAGCGGACATATGTATATGGGATTTTATTACGTCAGCTTGTAGAAGAACGAACTCCAACAAGGATGCTTAGTACATCAGAATCTTTCGGATAAGTCTCAATGATTTGTCTAGTATTCGAAACTTCTGTTTATAACGGGGCTTACTCAACAGGAATCTTTCCTCCTTCACACGTGGTAACGGAAACAGATCAGATTTCGGAAACTGCGTGTTGAAACACTTGTCCAAAACACTAATCTTGTCAGAATCTTTGTACAGAAAATTAAAAAAAAAATCGTTAAGATTACAGGATTTGTCTAAGATTTTATACACATAACAAATATCAGGCATTCTGATACCGTTGCTAGGCAGCCGCATACGCCTACTGATTAACGAACTCGCCTAAATAAAAATCTCATACTCCTTTAATTGTTCAAAATTCCTGAGACTGCGCCCGCATCTGCGATCTGAGCTAGAGGCTCTCTTACAAAGAAACAGTCACAGACATTACGAATTTTCTGTGACAATGAAAGAAATTCGAAATTTAATACATGCCATCATTGGAATGCAGGATAAAATCGTGATATAAAGATATCTAATGAAAGGTTAAATTATCTCGCTAAGTTCGATACTTGCTAACGACAGTAATAAATCAGAATTACTCTGAAATACATTAAGAACGCGTTAAATTCGGGTAACATTAAATTCAGAGTACCATATCCAAAAGCCTAAAGGTAAGAATTTAAGCGTAAATTGAGAAGATAACATGGACACCATAATTTATACCCTTCGCCAGATAGGCTTGATAATAGGACGACGAAATCAGGAGACAGTGAAACATGTAGCATGCATGGGGACTTGAGAATTGCATTCAGAAAGCCTGAAGGGAAAATATTAAGTGCGAGATCAAGATACAGATGGGGATAATATTTAAATTGATCGACGCAGTAACAGGTTGTGAGGACGTAGACTAGATTCCATTTCCTCAGGACAGAGGCCAGTGGCGGATGGAGAATATCTTGAACATCTGAGTGACTGTTAGCTTCTCAAAGACGAGTCCGCTCCATAGAGGTATCAAATTCGGTAATGCCAAACCTGTTTTGTCCCTGCGTTTTTATAGACCTAATTAGACTGTTCGCTTAACTTGTGATTAAAATTCTGAATATTCTTTCATGCTTGCCTGTTAACTCCTAGCTCAGTCTCTCAGACTTAAAGAGCACGTGTCATATTGGCGCTTTCTCCTGTTCCCCCAGTCTGACGCTGGAAGCGATAGGTATCACGCGAGATGGATGGACGATGATGTTAACGAGAGGACGGTGTCGGCTCCGCATTACGGCTACAGATGTAGTTTATACAGGGGTGTCAAATTAACGCGACCAATTACAGCTTGAAGCGCGATGCATTTTAAATCAGATAAGAAAAACGGTGTCCCATCACATGCGGGACCGTCGCTTCCAATGGCAGTGGGAACTAGCCCGTGTACAGGCATCGCGCCATGGAACAACGGCGTTCAGCGTGTTACTGAAATGTTCGATTTATGTGTAACTAAACGCTATTTCAACTGCAGAGATTACTGTATAAGCCCGAGTAAAACACGACCCCCCCCATTTTTTCCAATGAGAGAATCTGAATTCTTTTATAAAATTGAATATGTCATTTTGTTGTAAGGGATGTGAACAAAAATAAGCAAACACTATATTATTAAGAAAGCCGGTCACGGTAGCCGAGCGGTCTAAGGCATGCACTGTCTTCGCTCGCTCGGAAGCCGGGATCGTGGGTTCGAAACCAAAAGGCGCATGTTTCAGGCTGTGGGACTTGTAGCCAAAGGTTTCTTGGCGTATTGAATTGTGCATATATTCATTCTCTCGCTATACACGAGAGACTTTCCAATGAGTGATGTAATATAAGAATATTTGGCCACTGCTGAAGCAACGTCAACTTTCTCAGATTGCGATAAACCTGAACATGAGATTGTTTTTCTCAACTGTTTTCTGTATCCGATCACCGTTCTCTGGTCTGGCTACTACGGCCAGTTGATCTGTTTTCACCGAGCAGACTGGTATAGGGAAAATGCTCTGGACTCATATTAAGGAGATGTTAGGTTCGAATCTTGGCCGAAACACCGGCTATCCTGACTGGTTTTCCTCAGACCCTCCAGCTTTGCCTAGAGGGACTGAGTACGCTGTATAGTCTCATATACTGAAAGCGCCCTAGAATCACAAAGAAACGTTTGCATAGGACAAGCTCAATCCAGGCAAGAGTTGAATGCATAAAATGACCACTGCATTGGGCAATGTCTGTTAAAAGAATGGTCGGTATTCAAATTGTGCCCTGTAGACCCGTTGCTAGGCAACGACCGCGAAACAGATAGCAACCGTTACAGGGAAGCGGACTGCAGCAACAGTGGAAGTACTGTTGAAAGCAGTGTTTTCTATGTGATCCGCTACGAGGCTATATGACTCGACCGACCGAGTTCAGTTCAGTTCAGTTCAGCTGAGTACAGTGGAGTGAAGTGGGTTGGTGAGAAGTTAGAGGACTACTGCTGTTCAGCTGTTGTGAGCTGTTGCTGTAAGAAGCTGATATCTGAGGCACGGGGATAGTTCGGGAACCCAGACTAAGGGGAACGTCCGTCGTTGGAAGTCACTGGTGAAGAGAGCAGATCGAGGAAACTTAGTGCGTGCTGTAGTGAACTGTAAAGAGTGTGGATTAGTGATAGCGCTATAACTATTTGAGGTTACGTTCCGTACGTGCTAAATCCAATTACCAATCCAAACCCCTTCCATAATCACTAATACACTTGACAATATTCAAAGGAGTGTTATAATAAATAACTGTTCCAATAAATGCCTGGGTGAACAGCGTGCCGTCGCTGGACACGATAGGTCCGCTGTCTGTGTTGTGCCCACAGAAGTACTACATTCATTTTGTAAGGGTACACGTAATGTATACTCTTTCCAAACAGTGTTGCCACAACAGAAATATACAAGAGACTGACACTTACCCGACTTGACGGAGCAGTGTATGTGAGCTCTGGACTCATAGTACACCCAGTCGAAACCCGCCTCCACCGCCAGGCGTGCCAACATGCCGAACTTGGAGCGATCTTTGTCTGACGTGGTGACGTCGACGGCGCGTCCCTCATAATGTAGGGAGTCCGCCGCGTGGTTGCCTTCTTCATCCCATCCCTCTGTGACCCGCAGCTTGACGCCGGGCCACTGGTTCATCACCGAGATTGCCAGCGTGTTTAGCTTCTCCTTGCACCTCTGCAACACAGACAAACTACTGTTACGTGGCGTCGGCTACAACGCATTCCGTGTGCCGGGAGCGCTCGTTTGGCTGGGAAAAGAGGTTCCACTCCCGGCAGGGGTATGAATTTCTCATCTCCCCCCCTCCCAATTTGGGTACACGCTGTTTCGGAGTATGAATATCAGTCGCCTTTATCTCGTGTTGACGTTAAGAATATTGGGAGCTATACCTCCACTATTTCATTAGGCATAAAGTCAATTTTTAATTTCACTACATTCTAACATATCAGTGCCTGTTACTAGCGAAGAAGTCCCTGACTTCGGGTAAGAGTGAGGGTGTGCACTTGTTACTGACTCCAACCACAATCAATTTAATTACTTACCTATGTCTCTACAGTTCGCCACTTTTTCAGTTTCTTGATCCTATACACAGTCGGTAGGACTCCTTGGACGGGTGAGCAGCCCGTCGCAAGGCCGCTGCCTACACGCGGAACAACAGAAACACTGAATAAACGCATACAGATATCCATGCCTTGAGTGGTAATCGAACCAACGATCCCAGACAATTCATGCCTTAGGCCACGCGACCACTATGAACGGCGTTTTAATTAACACATTTTTTAATCCACTTACAGATTTGTTTTCTCAAAGGATTTCCTTTACTCCCTACATAGGCCTGTAATATACAGGGTTATTACAAATGATTCATTCCATTTCAAAAAACTATATTGGTCGCCCCGTGCTTTTCCGTTTACACAGACAACCAGTATCCTTAAACTACCGATACCACGGCAGAATACTCTGTTTACATGGTGGTTCTGTTCTGTGCTCTGCTCTGAATGCACGCTCCACTGCAATAACAGATGAACATCTCGCATATTCCACCACACAGAAACTCTTTTCCAGCTTCGCCGCCATTTTGTGAGGCACTGCACTCATGCTGCCAACTGGTGTATTGCGATGCAAACTTGGTAAGTTTGCGGTTCTTTTCATATAAAATCATGTTTGTATGTGTAATATTTCGGAAAATATAGTGTTTTGAAATTGAAAGAATCATTTGTAGTAACTCTGTATAATCCAGCATAAGTTTTCCTGCCACATTTCTGTGTTCATTTGTTATTATCCACTTATCACGGCTTCAGGATTCTCGTCTTTTACTACAATCTCGTCGGCTCACAATTATACCACACGCCTAATAAAATCATGCGTTTACTACTAACAAATTACCCCACAACACTATTCCCTCCACACGGCTGTGCTTTTCTGACACATTAACTAAACAAAGTAAGCAAACTGAAACCCAGACTCCGGTTCAGCGCTTCCGCTGCTGCTGCTGCACTGCTCAGTTACAGCTGAAGTCAACAGACCTGGCATGGTCTAGTCCTATGAGATTTAATTCTCTCTTCTACCGTCCATTTTAACTGTACTGCCTGGTTCAGTTTCCCTTTCGTAGGGCGCCACAGACTGCCTACATGTGCCTACCATCTCTTTTGATCGGAGGGAGACAGAACCTGCTCCAAAAATGCCGTTGGCCCACATCAGCTTGAACAGGCAATGGCTACTGTTCGATGGAAGTATCCCTATTACGCGCGTGTGGAATGCTGAAAGACCATGGCACGCGGTAGCGTAGTTGGTTGGAACACTATGCTAAAAGCCGGAAAGTATCGGCTTCGATTTCCGTTGAGATCATTGATTTTTGAATTGATCTGATCCGTCCAGCCGCACTATGGCCCTGGGTTCGACTCAGCCTCTTAACAGAAATGAGTACCAGGAATCTTCCTGGGGGGTAAAGGGCGGTCGGCGCGCAAGGCTGACAACCTTACCGCCATCTGTGAGTCTATTGTCTAGAACATGTGGGAGCCTCGACGTCTCACAACCTAATGGACCTCCACGGCCTGTTGCAGGGATAACTTTGCCTTTCTTATACAAAATTGTAGGTGGGAAGATAACACTGAATTGAATGAAGAAATGACACACGTGTATAAATGTGTGGACTGCAAACAATTAGCTCACGATAGGTTGCAATGGCGGTGTCTTGTGAACGTTCATGTTTCATTACAGGGAAGAAATTTCTTGACAAAGTGTGGCACTGTTAGCTTCTTAAGAACGACTGTGCTCAGCGACGCAAGTAACTCTTCCGGGCCACCTTCCCGATCGAGCGGGTAGCGCTCCTTCTTTTACATTCGTCAAGCCCCAAATGCAAGCCTGGCCCGAAAAGCGCCTATGCTGGGATTTTTCGTTGTCTTCGTCAGTTCCTCCAGGAATATTCTTAGGTGAGGCCTCAAATTATGCCACCTCCGCGTCCTTCCATTCCTTTCACAATTCACTGTTCACTGCTTACTGTATCATTCCACTGTAAATGACAAATAACTAAATATAAACTGTTTTCAACCACTTCGCCACTCATCAGTGCAAGAATGTGATATATAATAACAGACACTCTTACTGAGATGCTCGGGTTTGATCCCAGGATAGTCCAGGTAGGATCTGTGATGGAGAGATTGTGATTTGGCCCGTCTCTCCCTGCCAGTCAGACCATTCATCTGTCGCTGCCAGAAAGACACACGGTTTCTGGACAGTATAGCTATTCTTGGCCCATTTCCCGTTTGACACATAAGTTTGGAGCATGGAGGGCGCGGTGTTGGGCTCCAGCTGCAGTAGCTCGTCACTGGGCCGCTTACTGCTGCATCTCCAGCAACTGCCGATGTATCCTCCTTTGTCATTACACTCACAACCCCCCCCCCCCTTCTGTTGCTGTGACGCGGTATGTTAGGAAGGTAAAAGTCTGGTGCTGAGCGCGGGTAAACACAGACTAGAGTGCTTACAATCAGAGGTGGTGCCTCTTAGGTAAGAGTCGATTCGGAGGTAACTAGCTCTGCTTAGGATTCGGTAGGCCGGAGATCTTGTTCCGGGTCTCAGCACGCCCTATTCCGGCAGGCAGGGATAACACTGTAGCACACAACCTATTCACATCACAAGACAACAGTTTGCGCTTAAAATGTATTATTATTAAACACTCAAATAGCAGGTCTGTTAATAACCTTAACTATTAAATCCTTTTTAATATTGTATTCCCTCTTTTTAATTGTCAGTTGCACTCCGCTGTTAAATAACTAGGACTGATGAAAAAAATGTGTAATTTAGAATTTAGCCGGAGTGGCGTAGGTTCGCGTCCGTACATCAGAAGTTAAAACCAGAGTTCTCTTGGAACTGATCTGCTTTGAGACAGTTAATTGTTTTTTAATTCGCTTAGTGGGGGGGTGGAGTCCAACTGGGTCCAGTCGGCACGGCGACCACTGATTGGTCTATTGTAGCCTGCCCCGGGTGATTATGATGATGGAGAATTTGGTGGAATGAAGATCGGCAGGGGAAACCAAAGTACTCGGAGAAAACCTTCCCCAGTCCCACTTTTTATTTCTTTGGTACTACAGCCCCAGTGGGCCTAGGCCTACCTCCATGAACTTCTCCGTTCACTTCGGTTTTTCTAGATCTTACACATTCGGTAGGACTCCTTGGGCGGGTGATCAGCTCGTCGCAAGGCCTCTACCTGTACACAAACACAGAAAAACGCACACACACAAACTAAACATCCATGCCCTGAGTGGGATTCGAAACCACGATCCCGGTTTCCAAGCGAGCGAAGACAGTACATGCCTTAGACCGCTCGGCTACCGTGACCGGCCCAGCGCCTCTCTGTCCACCACAAATCCCACTTGACCAGACCCGGGATCGAACCCTGGCCGCCGTGGTGGGAAGCAAGCCACTAACCGCTTGAGCTATAACGCGGGCGTAAGCAGCGAGTTTCTCAGAGTCTCACCTTCAAACAGAAGTTGCCTCCTTCAAAAACGCCTTATTGGCCCAGTTCAAAACTAGGAGGTTTCCGTAATTTAGCATTTCCCAATCAGATGAATTTTCCAAGCGATATTAACCCCCGAAACGCGAACTATATTGTTGGCAGTTTCTTGAGCGTGGGCAGCGGATCGACCTACTGCTCGCCTCAGCTGTCAAATATCAGGTTACGAAAGGAGTTCCGCTGTGCGCGCAACAGCTGAATTCTAGGAAAAGTTGCAGGTGACCGCATCCTCTTCGCACAGCAAGAATATGACTATCCCCCCAATCTGAACTTATGGCATGTAGCTTGCACTTCAGTAGGCTTACTCGACAGTCGTTAGAATCCTGGAAAGCAGACGGTATAGCGACTGAGTAGTCCGCGTTCCAGTCCCGGTAAGGGTAAAAATTTTCATTCCTCCATGTCCAGACCGCGTCCACCCAGCCTCCTATCGAATGGGTACCGGAGGCTGTTTCCCAGGGGGTAAACCGGCTGGGCCGTGGAGCTGACAACTCACCTCCAACTCGTGCCCTGGTTAAGAAAGCGTGGATCTATACATTCACGCCTTCATGGCGTGTTGCTTAATTATTTAAGCATAGGGACAACTTTACTTTAATCAACATTCATTATAATGTGACATTATAATGGACGGTTACAACAGCCAAATGGTTAATTAACTGTGAGAGATTTCCTGACATAAAATATGAACAGTAGTACATTACTTTCACGTGAACTGCATGGTGGATACAGCTTAGCCACAGAGGGACTACAAGGTATTACGCATCATTGTCATCATTGTCATCATCATTCTGTTAGTCTCGTTACATTCCTCGAGATATGCGAGACAGAAACAGTAATGTCCTTCATTCAGTTAAATCGGTCGCGGCTCACGAAGAGGCTGTTGTCTGTGAAACAGGGCCATGGCACTGACTTGGAATGAGCCCTGGAAAAAAAAGAGCGAAGGTCTCGGAGGCGGTGCTCCCCGAGGGGCAGAAGCCACGCCCCCGACCACCCGATGTTGCCACGTTTCCAAAACAAGGCATTCCATTCTCACAAGGAGAGCTCACAGTGTGATAACAAGGAGTGGTTTATGGCCGCAGGAACTGCAGGACATTCTCTGTTTTATTTGCAGAAAATATTTAGAAATTGTGTCACATTTTGTGGGTAACTGAGAAAAATAACTGAAAAA